CACACACACACACACACACACAGAAAGAAACAGAGCAAGAACAAAAAGAGCACTGAAACGACCAGATGAACAAGGACGGAAGGAAACAAAGACACTTATGTCTTGCATTTTTTTTTGCAATGCAATATGATTTATCAGAGGTAGGGTAAGGTAGCATGTTTGCAAAAAAGTCGATTGTTCCCTGCTGACTAGCTTCTGTGGCATCTGTCAAACAGGGCTTGACGCAGTTCGAATGAATGCAGCTTGGATTCCTTACTCGAAGTCTCAGGCAGAAGGTAATTGGGGAATTTCTGATGGTCCATGTCATGGTCAGGGGACTGACCTGTTGTAGTGTATTCTCATGGTCTGTCAGCCTTCTTTTTACCTTCACAACATCTCGTGAGGCGGAGGTGCTTTGTTCTGTCTCTCTCTCTTTCTCTAAACACAGAGAGTCTTCAAGGATGTTGACAGGTCGGTTGGCACTTGTTTCCAAGAACAGCAAAACGAATACAACAATGAGATTCCCAGGCGAAGTGGTGCCCTTTGTTGAGTAGTACCGCATAGAAAGTCGAACAGAAGTTGGATCGGTGCAAGTGGAGATATTTACTAATGGGATAAGGGACTCTCTGACACGTTTCATGTGAACAGAGCATGCAGTGGTTATGTGAAGTGCAGGTGAGTCTCAGATAACTACACCCAGAGTAGCTTTCCAGTGTGGTCAGGAGCTTTGTTGTTGTGTAACTATTCTGTCAAGTCGCGCGCGCGCGAGAGAGAGAGAGAGAGAGAGAGAGAGAGAGAGAGAGAGAGAGAGAGAGAGAGAGAGAGAGCAAAGTGCCCCTTCCACATAAACTAGGGCCCTGCGGAGAATCCACAGGGTCCTTCCAGTAAATCAGTAAGGTCCTACTCTCAAGCAGAGACAGGCACACACGGAAGTGAAGGAGCGGGCCAAGTATGCATGGTCTGAATCCGAATTCAGGTCTGTGTTTCAGCAGTTATGGGTCACGAACTTAGCTGGGCGCTATTGGTCTCTGCATGTGATTCTCAGGACTCACGAGATGTTGAAAACTAGACTGAATCTTCCCTGCAAAACTAGAATGAATCTTCTCCTCGAGCATGGAACCATACGCGGCTATATGTTTTGTCTTTTGGGCTATATGTTTTGTCTTTTGTGCACGTGGTGAGTAGTATTCGTAAGGAAAGGAAAACAAAACAAAGAGAATCAAGTGCAGGGACTAGCAGGGCCTAGCTTACTCCGTAATCCATAACTGCTGAAACACATGCCTGAATTCGAATCCAGATTCCGGACCATATATTGTTGGCCTGCTCACGCCTTTCTCATTATACAACAACTTTTTCTGTCTGGTGACATCCCCTTGTGAATGTTTTCGCAGGGCCGTCTCTGCAAAGAGACAGGATCCAATTAGGATATGCACACACCCACGCACACACATGTACACCCAGTTTTTGGGCACAATGTGGCCCCAGGTTTTTTTTTCTGCACTTTGGAATTTTGAAAAGGACAGGCATGGTTGGCGACCAAACCCTGCCCTTCTTGAAAATTTTTACGGACCTCTTTTTATTAAGTTTTTAATGGGGTGCGCGGCATCACATGCGTGCGCATTGGTGCGCGTGCGCTATGCGCCGCACACGAAGTGCGTGATGCACTGCAAGTATGAGTTCAGCCTTTGCATGTCGGTACCAAAAAGTGATGCCTCTCCGCTTGGCTTCAGTCCATACTTGGGCGGCATACGTGAGGACCGGGAGGTGCGCGGTGCGCTGATCGCAGGTGCACGAAAAAAAAGGAAAAAAGCAGCAGCAGCCGTGATGCATGTATACACGCTGAGAGAGAGAGAGAGAGAGAGAGAGAGAGAGAGAGAGAGAGAGAGAGAGAGAGAGAGAGAGAGAGAGAGAGAGAGAGAGAGAAGCCCTTTCCCATTTTTTAGAAAACCCCTCCCCATACTTCAAAAGGTCCCTGCCATAAGTTAGCAAGGACCTCATCAGCAGGAGAAGAATAGTAGCTGGGCTTGCAGTAAGGAGGGAGTAGGCCAGGTATATATGGTGTAGCTTCAAATTCAGGTCCGTGCTTCAGCAGTTATGGGTTACTGGCTTACTAACTCAGCATGTGACTTTAAGGGCTTCACTCCACTACTCACCAAATGGGCAAAACTAGAATGAATCTTCTCCTAGAAACTGGAACCATTCAAGCCATACGTTTTTCTTTTGTGCAAGTGCTGATGAGTGGAGCGAGGCCCTTAGGGGCACTTTACGTAAGAAAAGGAAAAACAAAAACGAGACAGCTATTGTAGTGTTTGGAGTAGGTTTGTAACCCATAATTGTTGGAACACAGACCTGAATCCGAATCCAGGATATATTGCTGGCCTGCCCGTGTTCCTCCAGCAGATCAATGCACGTTCTTTCCAAATGAATGGCATCCCCGCTAATTCGTTGCAGGGGACCCTTTGGAAAAGAGACTAAATCCCATGAGGAGTACGATGTGGCCCCAAATTATTTTTTTCCTGTGCAGTTACAATTTTTCAAAAGGGAGGCACACATTTGGTTACCACAGCCTGCCCTTTTGATTTTTTTTTTTTTTTTTTTTTATGTAACTGTGCCGCATCACATGCACATGCACATGCACATGTGCGCGTGTGCTATGCGACGCACGTGCATAACTTGCGCGCAAGTGATGCGCCGCATGTATGCTATACTCCAAGGAGATAGCATGACCGACCAACGGCTACAATGTCTTAGCAACAGTCCTGTCGGGGGCCAAGCGGAAGTCTGTGGGTAGTAGTCTTGCGGCTGAGGTGTTATTTCTATAGAATGGCGTGTGTGACATTTGATCCACAGCTTCATGTATGGAGAGGGCACACAGCGTAAATATGATGTTATCACAACACATGCATTAATGACTGCTGTGTGGGTGTGGTGATTAGTACTTCTGCAGAGGTTTTGCCAAATTGAGGCACATTGAAATGAGATCATGCTTTTTCCCCGTCGTTCTGAATGCTTTGCTCAGTCCATCTGTCAAAACAGTTTTTGTGGTCAACACTTTCTGCTACGAATTCTTAGTTAATCTGTCAAATGGTTGTTGTGCTCACCACTTTTGCAGTTCACAGCAATGTAGTCATATTGAGGGAATACTTACACTAGGACTCTGATGTCTGGACATCATTGCAGTGAGATTCATATACGTTCAGCTGTAATTGCAGCCAATACATAAGGAAGTGCTTGTGTGAGTATGCCCTGAAATGAGTTCGTTCATGTTCCCCTTCATCACGAATGGTTAGTATATCCGTCGAAATACGCCATGAAACGTTAGGCATGAAGTATTCTTGTATTGACTGGGAAGAAACAGTATGACAGGCATGGCATTGCATGCGGAAGTGGCTCATTTTGGGTAGGTGTCACCTTCTGCTGGGTTGGATGTGCTTGTTTCAAGTGATTGAACCATGAAGCTGACCTGTAATGAAAGGTCCCTGTTGAAACTTCCATGTTGGTGTGGTTATTGTAAAGTGAGCGAGGAAGAGGCAGCAAGACTAGCTGAAGAAGTGGGATTGACAGAGCATGCACACTTGGATGCACCACGGCGCCATCATGCTGGTCGCCTTGTAGCCATACTCGAGGCGTATGCCTTGCATGACCCTGATATAGGTGAGAGCTCACACAGACCTCAGCTGCTCCCCTATATACTTGCTAGTGATGAAGCCAGAGATGTGGTTGTGGTAAATGTGCAAAATGCTTGTCATAATTAGACGTGGAGAGGCAGTTAATGGAGGCCTCAATTTTCAGACAACTTCTCATGCCATTTATAACAAAACCCAAGGATCATTTTAACCAAACTTGCCACCAATTCATAGAGTGGAGATCATACTAAACACTTGCAAAAAAGACAATGAAAAAGAAACTAAAAAAAGCTATAAAACAGCAAGGCAAAAGGGCACTTTCATCAAATTTCGCCAACATTCCGTACTAACCACTTGATTAGCAGTGGGGAGGGAAAGTCTACTCATGCTAACGGTGCCTGAGGAGGGTGGGGACCTTATCTGCCTTTCCGAAGGAAGGGCAAGAGGACAGAGGGGTAAGCATGCAAACTTGGTTGTGGATCGCAAGTGCATGCACTTGAAGACTGTTTGTTGACGTTAGCTTTGTTGCTCGAGGTATTATGTGTCCTCAGCACTGAGGCAGGTGAACTGGAAAGAAGGTTACATGCAGGCTGTGTGAAGAATGGGGAAGAGATCCCAAAACCTTAGCCTGGGTCATTCTGTCATGTTAAGTGAACTGAGTGCCCCCTTGAAGTCATGATGGAGTAATGATAGATCTCCTTGTTGGGGTGGAGCTGTTGTGTAGGGGCCCTGGTTAAGTCATGGAATCTAAAAGGGCAGTGCTGGTAAGAGGCGGAGGAGGGGGGCAGAGCCGTGCTATTTTCTCTTTCTTGAATGTTGTAGAAGATCCCTTCCTCTTGCTTCTGTTTTATGTGGTAGTTCTGTTGGAAAAGTGACCATACCCATCTTCACAGTGTTGTTGCCATGATGGATTGTCTTTGAGAGTGGCAGAGAAACCTGTCTTTCACTTTGCTGCTATTATTTGGCAACTTTGTCGAGAAACCTTGTTTCATACTCTAGTTTAGTGAAGACGAGGCCACTTTTGTATGGTTGCACCATTCTTCGAACAATCAATCAATGTGGGAGAAATTATCGGCACTATGTGGGGGGAGTAAGTGGCTCATACGTTTGGGAAGGTGAAGAACGGCAACAATCGGCGCACGCAGACAATGACAGGGAAGTATGTGGCCCGTACCTGCGGGAAGATGAGGAATGGCAACAATCGGCGCGCATGCGAACGATGAAAAATGCGACAAGATGACAAGCGAGCAACGGAGGGACCGATATCGTATCCTGAAGGATCCCAAGAATGACACGCACAATCTCAAATTTGGGACTTTGGTTACAAACTGCAGGAGACTGCAAAAAACAATTTCAGCAAGGAAGCAACGTTGGACACAAACTGTACTGCAACACGGCATTTTTTTTGCTTAAAACCACCGGGCCAAGGATCTAATATCTAAGCCACGCATTGCTGGTATTGTGAAAAACGATAAGATTGCTGACATTTGTTTTTGAATTATAAAAATGGGATTGCTCCAAGTAGGAAATTCGTGAAGAAGCTTCAATCAAACCGACAATTTCTCATGCACAGGCTGCCACAGTTGCAAGTTGAGGTTTCCCCCGATGTTGCAGAGGATAGCCCTTGAGTTAATCTCATAACTGGACTTGAGCAAATTTCCTTAGAAGAAGGTGTCGGCAACCTGCCAGTTTTGGCTCAGAAGACCAAAACTTGGCCTTGTGCTAGTTCTGGTCCAAGAGTCGACTTTGAAACGCTGCCAGCTTTGGCCCACAACAGGACCATATCTGGGCTTGAGTTTGGACTTTGATATCCTAATATTTTTGTGAGAAACTGGAGGGAAACAGTGGACTAAGGTAGGCCTGCCGACTGAATAAACGAATATGGAGGCTGCAGGAGTCGTCATTCTTGGGAGTCTTATTTACTTATTCAGTTTTCTATTTACTCAGCTTGAAAGAGACGTAAGAACCAACTAAAAACTTGTTGAAACCACCCAAAAAAAGCAAACACACTTTTTTTTTTTTTTTTTTTTTTTGTACTTTGGACCATTTCTCGATTTTCCATTGAACCACACTGCTTGTCACCTTGAGCACACACACACTCACATTGAGAGATTACATGAAATCCACACTGGAGACCAGAGATCCTCGGTCCAGATTAGCACAGCCTGGCCGGGCATGAGGCCCGGGCGGGACCCCAGGCGCTCTACGCGGCACAAAAAAAAAAATCGAAAAATGCTGCTGGGGGGGGGCCTGCGGTACGGCGTGGGGTTCAGAGGGCCCTGCAAACTGCGAATTTTTTTTTGCGTGGAGGGCCTACCGGCCCACGCAGATAAAAAAAAGGGTGATGTCAAGCCCTCTATCTGCAAGATCGAGGGCTTGAAAGCGCCCTTTTTTTCCCGTTCGGCAAGGTCGCGCGGGCATTGCATTTCGAATGCCAGCACAAAATCGCGTGGTGCTTCTTGGCAGATGGGAAACCCTCCACGACTTGTCGCCCGCTGCCGGTCGCCCGCTTGTCCACTACTGCCCGTCGCCCTTGCCAGCTCCACGCCGCCATCGCCAGGTGAGTGAGTTTGTGTGTGTGTGTGTGTGTGTTCCTCGTGCTCCCTCTTCTTCTTCTTCTTCTTTTTCGTGGGGCTTCCCAAAAGAAACAAGAAAGGCCGCGCCGTCGCGACATCCATTGCAGGCCGCGGCACACATCGGCGGCAAAACACACACACACACACACACACACACACACACACACACACACACACACACACACACACACACAC